ATATTATATCAAGTAAATATAAGCACAAATGGATTTAATGTAGAATTATATTCAAATCCAGTCAACATTCAGAATAAATAATCACTGGACTAAATCCACAAATTCAAGCAATAATTTAATCTATTTAAAGATAGAATAAGTTTGACTTTGTGTAAAAATTAATATTCAGGTAATATTTTGATGAGAGACATTGGAGAGATTAGGGGTGCCTGTGTCCACAATGTGAGTTTTTTGTGTGAGAATAAACATTACTGATTGTGAGCAGCAGTATATATCTGCCTTACATGTTGAATATGCAAGAGAGAATCTGATAATGAGACATTTCTGATTATATTTATATGTAGTCAATGACAGAGTGTAATTATGTGTATTGCATTATTAATTAATGTTTCATTTTAAAATGATTCAGAATTATACATAGTTGTATGCTGATGTCATTATCACTGTCTTTTGAACTGAGGACCAGGACCATGACCATGACCTATCCTCAAAAGCCCCCCACCCTCCATTTATTTATATATATATATATATATATATATATATATATATATATATATATATATATATATATATATATATATTTTTTTTTTATTTTTTTTATTTTTTTTTTTAATTTTTTTTTTCAATATATAAAATTATTATTATTGTTATTATTATTATTGTTATTATTATACAATTAATATTCTAGAAAATAACAGAAATTGGTCCTAAATGTAACTGGAAGGCAAAGACACAACTGGAGTGATGTATTAAGATCATTTAAGAAGTCTTTTGCAAGAATATTAATATAATTTGACAATTCCATAAGATACAAAAAATATGTTTTATAGAATTATCTGTGGGCTGCACAGTAGCGCAGTGGGTAGCACTGTCGCCTTACAGCAAAAAGGTAGCTGGTTCGAGCTACGGATGGGTCAGTTGATGTTTCTGTGTGCATGTTATCACCGTGTTGACGTGGGTTTTCTCCGGGAGCTCAGGTTTCCCCCACAGTCCAAAAACTATAGGTGAACTGATTAATTAAATTGGCCATAGCGTATGAAGGGAAGGGCATCCGCTGTGTAAAACATATGCTGGATAAGTTGGCGGTTCATTCCGCTGTGGCGACCCCTGATTAATAAAGGGACTAAGTCAAAAAGAAAATGAATGAATGAATGAATGAGAATTATCTGTTGTCTTTTTAGACCTGAATCATGAACTGTTTTAGGCCTAATCTTACCTGCCCGACTCTTCATCCTTCTTTTCTGCTTCATAGCATGTTTAGTTAAAATAAGATCATCATCATATTGTTTTAATTTTTGTTTTGTCCACTTGCAAAACTTACACAGGTTTCACAATGCATAATCGCTGCGTATTTTTTCGACGTGTCCCAGAGTTGCAAAAACTTCTTTCTAAGTATTTTGAATGTACACTTGCTTTATTAAAATGAAAGAATGTCCAAGACAAAGCTAATAAGTGTCTTATGAGTATATGTACACTAGCAGTGGAATTTACTGGAATTTATCTGAAATCTTGCCTAGGGCTCCAAATTGGTTAGGGCCGGGCCTAATCATAACCATGCTGGATAATTGCGCGCAGGCCTGTTTTAACACACTGCAGCAAAGCGATCATTTGAATGGAAGAAGATATCGGCCTTACTGAAAATAATTGATGAAGAGAATAGACAGTTCAAAATTGAATAAACAGATAAGTATGTGTTTATTTTGCCCCAAGCCAGCTCGAATCAGTAACCTTCTTGCTGTGAGGCCAATGTGCTTCCCACTGTGCCACCGTGCTGCATCTTATGGATGTTTATTAAAAAAAAGTTATGTAACATCAATTGTTTCATACCTTTGACCTTAATAAAAAAAATTTAAGAACGTGTTTCAGGCTATAGATAGCTAGATAGACCCAGATCATGAGCCTAGAAATCTGCCCTGGACTATTTTTTCAGTCTGATTACCACTGGGTTTTATTTTGCACCCAATCGCCCCCGCTATTTATTCAATCTTTGTTTATTTAGAACAAAATTCTTCTGTCTGTTAATTCCCTGTTAAGACAGCTGTGAAGCCTAATTGTCTCTTTTTGCTCAACCTTTATGTTCTTTGCTGATCTGGGTCAGTCGGCATGAATATGGTTTCATTTTCCACACTGGGGCTGATAACAGAGTTCTCTGGAATTAATGTAAAAATGCATTGTTGCCTTGGTAATGTAAGCGTAGTTTAAGCAGAAGAAATGTGAGAAAGTGGCATGAGAATAATGTCAAACATGTGAGTCTTGTAAAGTAATAAAAATTCTACATATATCCTCCTATTTTCATTTTAATTCAAAGCAAGCTAACAAAAAATATAAGGCATTTTGCAAAAATGTATAAAAAGTTTAAAATATTAATTTAACTGTTTAATTGTTAATAGAAAAATATATTTGATTTATTATTATTATTTTTTTATTTATTTCTTTTTTTTTTTACATTGGTGGCACCATGGCTCAGTGCTTAGCACTGTTGCTGCACAGCAAGAAGGTCACTGGTTCGAGTCTCGACTGGGCCAGGAGTGTTTCTTTGTAGAGTTTGCATGTTCTCTGTGTGTTAGTGGGGGTTTTCCTCCGGATGCTCCGGTTTCCCTCACAGTCCAAACACATGCGCTATAGGGGAATTTAATTTATTAAAATGGCCGTGGTGTGAATGAGAGTGAATGGGTTGCGGCTGGAAGGGCATCCGCTGCGTAAAACATATGCTGGTCTAGTTGGCAGTTCGTTTCGCTGTGGCGACTCCTGCTAAATAAGGGACTAAGCCAAAAGAAAAATTAATAAATGAGTTTTAAGACTGTCTCGACTCGGACTCGGATGTTAAGGACTCGGACTTAAGTCCGACTCGACCCCTTTTGGACTCGGACTTGGACTTGAACTCGACTGTTTAAGGACTTGGTCTCGACTTGGGCTCGACCCCAACTCTAGATTTTACCAGTGAATTAAATTGTCTAATATGACAGATTGCAAGCATATATCTCAAACATAATAATCCAACATCAGAATTATTACAAGAATAGATTAATATAGAATAGAATTATTTATAGAAACCAGTAGACCTACACATATTATTATCGAGGTTGTGCCATATGTTTGTTTTTACCATACTTTTATTTTACATCTACAGAATCGTAAGAAAATCATGATCTTTATTTTGAGCAAAAAAATCGCGATTCTCATTTTAGCCAGAATCGTGCAGCTCTAATATAAATATATAGATATAGCAATATCACATGAGTAGCAGTGTGCTATGGCTGTATATCAGCACTGGTGGAAGGGAGGCATGCGTTGGCTTAGCACCCCACCAGTGCAGATATACAGCCATAGCACACTGTTACTTATGTGCTATTGCGTTTATTCAACAATTCAACAGCACAATCTTATACATAAAAAAGAAAACATACAAAGAAAACACAGAGAGTCTAAAACCCCTTTGTTTTAGGAACTAATTTATTCAGCCATTCATTCACATTTGCAGCTGACTTCAAAACAGCATAAGCCATTACTAATTCACCAATGTCACTTTTGAGCTAGTGTTTGAATGATTCTCTATATCGTAATGTAAAGCGACGCTTCTGGTGTGTGACCCCCTTAAGGTGATGAGAAAACAGCAAATTTTGCTCACATTTTAAGATTATATGGCTGAACGTTACATGAAATGCCATCCCTCTACAGTGATTTCTCACGAGACTGCTGTTGTGTTTGCGATAAGGAGGGACAAGGCTGAAAAACCTTGTGGCTTCCATTTTTTAGCTTTTTATACGTGCTCAGAGAACACACTGAGCAAGGGCTTATTATGCGGTTCTGGCGCTATCTTGTAGATAGACAACTTTAACCTTTTTTGGCCACCAAGGAGCTCTCAGAAATTGTAAATATTTTAAAATTCTTGCACTATTCTTGCAAATAAACTGCATATTTCATATTTGCAATCTAAACAACTACATTCATGACTAAAAAAAGCCTCAAAAGTATATTTTGTTGTGTAACAGCAGTAATATTTGTCAAAATGTAGTATCTGCTTGTTAGCTGGCTGTATGTAGGCATGAGCAATACATAAAGGGTAAAAAGGGCTGTATGATGCTTAAATATTTCTATGTGTGTGTGTGTGTGTGTGTGTGTGTGTGTGTGTGTGTGCGTGTGTGTGTATATATATATATATATATATATATCTGCGATAAGCTGTTTCTCTTTGGCAATGGAATAGAATATACGAATATATTTGAAAGCAAACAGCTGTTCACTTTGACTTTAGCCTATATGTTATGTTTAGAACATGATATTATCTGTTCTGAAATACAGTGTGAAAGCATTGGTAAATTTTACTTTATTATTGCATTGTTTTGGTCTTGATTGATCTTGTGTTTGACGGATGTTGTACTTACCGTGTTAAGAGTTTAGGAAACTTGTTAAATGTATTGACGACCAAAGAATATTACAGTACTAGAAGCCTTTTGCAAGGAAGAATGGGACAAAATCCCAACTACAAGAATTGAAAGAATTTTAGCTTTCTATAAAAAGTGTTTGCAAGCTGTTATATCTGCCAAAATGTTGTACAGTGCCATATATATTTTTTTTTCAATTTATGGCATAAGAAGCTACTATGCATCGGTTTACAAGACATATTATGCATTCCCTGAATTTTCAAGAGAGACTGTGTTAACATTTTTTCAATTAAAAAAAATCACCAAAATCTGTTATTTATCATGGGGTGGCTAATCTTTTGCATAGGACTGTACCATTATGCAGGAAAATGACTTTTCTGAACCATAAGAAGGCAAAACTCAGGAAGATCATAAGACAATTCGAGTCACTCATATTTCTATATGAAGAACATTTTTTAAAAAGGCTGCAAAAAAATCAAATGTATATATAAAAAACTTTATGACTTCATTATATATGAAATACTGCGTTTTTTATACTTAAACATTTCATTTATTTTTTACTTGAAATGAATATTTTTTAGTACTATGTTTTAAAACATTGCTGTGTGTCTACAGCTGAGATTAGTGCTCCTCATGTAGAACTGAGAAGTAACAATGGACAAACAGAAGTTGATATCACTGATCCACCGATGAAAAGAAAAAACCTGAGAGACGTCTTTGGGAATATTTCTTACCTCATACGTTTTTGGAAAAAAGGAGAATCAAATAAGGTAAAGAACGTTTCCTCAAAAGTATTTTAAATTTTTTATTTTGCAGTTGGAAAAAAAATGTGGCTCACTCCACTTAGTATATTACACTTTGTGTTTACTTTAAAACTATGGAGTTTTACATCACTACAACAATATAAACACCTGTTCATAATGCTGATGTGTCCTCATTACAGTTACACTTGACATTAATTTAACAATTTACAATGTGCATAAACATTTCACAGGACAATAATGGATGCTATGAGTGAAAAAAGAACACTTTAAAGTAAATTGTTTAGAAAAACTGACTGCTCTTGACTACTTCAATATAATAGGGCTGTATATTGGCAAGGGCCTCACGATATGATACATATCACGATACATGGGTCATGGTATCACAGTATATTGCGATACAATAAATATTGGGATATATTGCAATAGTGTGTAATAGTATGTGTATCATGTTATATTGACAACTTGATAAAGTCATGGGGTTTAAAATTTATTTACTATGCATTTCAATTCCTTAGAACTGCACAGAAATGCACTGTGATTGAACAGAGAACTCACTGAAATGTATAAAATGCATATTGTAAACACTTAACTAAAACGTATATGCCACTAAAGTTACATATAAATAAAATAAACAAGTTATAAAACTAAAGCAAGTAAAAAAAATAAATAAAATGCATCAATTAATTATAAAACTGGAACACAGTGCTTTAAAATGTGACTAAACTATTAGAAACTTAAGTGTCCAAAATCAGGGCTCTAAATTGTATACTAATCTGCGCCCAAAACTTTATCTATGCAACCTCAAAATATATTTGGGAGCATTTGTGCGAGTGCATAAAATTGTTGTTGTGCTCCTATATATTTTCCACCATGCTTACTCTTGCTTGCGTACTAGTTAACGTTTTGTTAATAGCAAATTAGCGACATCTACTGGAGCAGAGGAGGAGGTTGTTTGGCACAACTTGTATGGATACTTAAGGTTGGATTATCGATACACTATCGTGAAAGCAGTTATCGCGATAGTCAGATATATAGATAATTTTCCACAGCCCTTCAATATAAATGTATAAACATTCATATGCAAATTAGGCTTGGACGGTATCCAAATGTTGATACTGTCAAACCTCCTCTCTATTTTCCCTCGGTATCCGGTATTACTGTGCATAATTAAAAAAAAAAAATATGGCGTAAGGCTCAGACAGCTTCACCAAACTGTTGGCTTGTGCCTAAACCATTCAGAAACTGAATACCATATAAGCGACCTGTTTGCCTTGTTCGTATTAGAAATCTGCACGGGACGCTCTCTCATATTCACACACATACACACACATGACGGAGTATGTGAGTGGAGCGGGACTATTCACATAATCTCCAGTGGTATTTTTTGCTGTCGTTACTAATGCAAGAACTTAAAGTGCTTGTTCGGCTTTTACTTGACTGGCCTTTAGTGCATACATGATGTTTCATATTTTAGATACCGGTCTTGTGGCTTTTATATAAAGCGCTTTACTGCCGTTGCATAGCCTATTACATACCCAGCATCTGATTTAACCTCGTTAATCTTTGATAAAACACTCATAAACAACACTTTTCTTTCCTTCCTTTTGTTTTTAATTGTCCATTTTTAAGTTTCTCTCGGATAGGTTTTGCCTTCAGTTCTGCTTTAACAAAAAAGTAAAAAAAATACAAAGCAAAAATCATTAATTAAACTCATCCACCCGCAATTATTCATAATGTACATTTTATTACCCGACCCACCCGACCTGCGGATAAGCAGCGTGCACGAATAAAATCGTCATCCACGCATTACTTATTTATATGATATATATATATATATATATATATATATATATATATATATATATATATATATATATATATATATATATATATATATATATACGGGGCTTGAAATGATCACCAGCCAGGTCTTTTTTGATCACAAGCCACTGTGGCTAGGATTTTTCCACTGTTACTGGCCATTCACCAATTTTCCTAGCAACAATTTTGTTGTTGGGAAAATTAATTTTATATGCATAAATTTGACTTTTGGCATGCTAAAATTACTTCATTTAGATTTTGTGTTTTTTCTACTTGCCACTTGTCTCATTTAACTGTTTTTTGTTTATGAGCTTATGGGTTATGCTTTCATAAAAAAAAGGGTCTCATTGCAGTTAGTTTTCTTTCACAGGACTTTTCAGGGCTCAACACAATAAGGATTTAACTTTTTCTCTGGCCTCACCAAACTAATTATTTGCTTGCCACAAACTTTAAATAATGTGTTAAAAGCAAAATGCTGCTGTATACATACACTTTTTATTCAACAAAACAGCTGACATTTAAAAAATATATATTCTCACCCATCTAAAATTATGCACAGTGGTCTGTTCTGGCTCAAGATCCTAGATCACCGGTTAACTATACACACAACAACATATTAAAGCAATATTATTGTAAAGGATAATCATTAAACTATATTAACAAACATAACAGCAAGCAAAAGAAAGTGGGTAAAAAACATTCTGTGCTCGATAATGAAACGATGATGCCGTGCACACGGTTAATGTTAGGCCAATTAATAATCTGTTCAAAGAATGATTAAAGTCAAAGTGTCAACAACTGCTGCTGCTTACAAAAAATCTGGAGCCCCTGAAGGACTGTGGGTGCACGAGCATCGCACTAGTTTCGTTTCCAGGCACAGTTGCTTCGAGTGAGGAAACGGCACAGGAGCTTTTAAGCACTTGGGCAAAATAAATCATCTGTGCACGACACTAAAGCCCTCATACATCATCAAGATGGCGCCAAGCATGGCCACCGTGTTGCGAACTCCCAGCAAATTTTGCTGTGTTTTGTGTATTTTACTCATATTTTTTTACTCGTATTTTTGTCGTTTTTTGTGCTAGATGTACACACTCTCATTACCTATGACAGACACACACTTCGGGAAATTGGCTCCCTCGTTGCACATCGAAGAACCGACTTTGAGTTCTTTAACAAGGCTCTGTTTACAAACACAGCAACAGGGCCCTGTGTCTGGTTCACACAACCGAAGCGACGAAGGAAATGCAGCCGGAAAAGAGAAATGAGAGTCGGCGTGGATTTCGACCTCTGCTCCCCACCATTCTGCTGGCTAACGTTCAGTCACTGGACAACAAATTTTGTGAGTTACGGGCGCACATTTACTTCCAACGAGAAACAAGAAACTGCTGCATTATCTGCCTTACAGAAACATGGCTATCTGCGGAAGTACCAGACACAGCTGTTGAACTTTCGGGGTTCTCCATGCACCGCACTGACGGAACAAAAGAACTCACAGGAAAAAGAGGAGGTGTGTGTTTCTTTAATAACAACTCATGGTGTGATGAGAGGAACATACACCCAGTTAGATCATTTTGTTCTCCCCATCTGGAATAACTTATGCTTCGGTGTCGACCATAATGGCTACTAAGGGAGTTCACAGCTGTTATCATTGCGGCTGTATACATCCAACCTCAAGCCAACACAGAGCAGGCGCTCAGGGAAATGTACGGGAGCATAAGCGAGCAGGAAAACGCACACCTGGAGGCAGCGTTTATTGTTACAGGGGACTTTAACAACGGCAATTTCAGGAAAATCGTTCCAAAATACTATCAACACATCACCGTAAACACGCGGGGAGACCGGATTCTAGACTACTGCTACTCCTCGCTCTGGCACGCATACAAATCCCTCCCCCGCCTACCGTTTTACAGGCAGAAACTGAAACGGGTCTTTTATTGCTATAACTAATATTTACTTTAAAAATCTCATCACAACAAACTTGTCTATTGTCTCTAATACAAAGTCATAGGTGGAAACACAGCTCTGAAAAATACTTAGCAACAAACTAACAACCTGGGACCTGACAGTGGAGCTTTTATGTGTGGATAGCTATGTGTATCATATTTTTTGTGATTCCCTGTTATAATTTCTGTGCACGTTACCTTACTGAGGTGATGGAATGTAATGGTATTTATGTGTATAGAAACTGTACTGAAATATGCAATATCCAATAAATAAATATACTTAAAAAAAGTAATGTAAAAAGTTATATGAAGAGAGGCTAACTAGCTAACAATGTAGCTTTTAAGAACACAGTTTAAGATAACAACAATATAACTTAAAACACAGCCTTATTTTAGAAACCCTCAAAAACACATTTTACTTACTCATTGTAGATTCTTATTTAAAGCCTAAAACATATTAGACTCAACATCTGAATTGATAGACAGAGAATAGACAGAATAGATAGAGAGTAAACTAATCAAACACCTGGCTCCCTTAAAGGGCCAGCATTTTCTTGAAACTTTTTCCAACACCTTTGTTTTTAGAATAAAACAGACAGCCTGTCGTGGGTGTGGTAATGCCTAAATCGTTGTTTTCTGCCTTTAAAATATAAGTCTCTGTAAAAAGCAACATAAAGTATCAGAGTAGACGGGACATTAATGGTTGAACAGTAATTTGCCATTTATTGTCACAGTTACTACCTGTAATGTGTACATAAAGTAAATTACTGTAGTTTATTATTTGCACTACACAGTTTCATACAAATCCTGCTCTTTTTACAGTAAAATACTGTTTACCTTTCATTACAGCAAAACACTGGCTATTTTACAGTTATTTACTGCATAATCTACGGTAAGGGTTAACAGTATAGCAAGGGTTTTCTCATTTTGTGTGTGTACAGTGTACACGTTTATGAGGTTTACAGGGACACAAAGTTGCACAATGACATCTATATCTACTTATTGAGGTGTTTTTTAGGGACACACCTTGTGTCCCTTTAATTCAGCACAGTTACACAAAGCACAGTTACTTAGCTAGAGCCTAAAAGTTTGTTGATGAATTATTATGTTTATGACCTGAGTCTATGAATTTAAGATTTGCACAAACATGTTTTGCATGCATGCATCTTAATTTACTTTTGCGAAAAGGAAGTTTTGTATTTTTGGATCAGGTGATGCTCGTGTGTGAATTGACCCTTTGTT